ATCACAATACTCTCAGCTATAAGTACTACACTGAAAAACTGTAGTATACAAATTTTCACTAACTCATAATCAGTAATATCTAAGTTCAACAAAGCTTAACAACAAACAAAAAACTATAATACGAAAACAAAATATAATTACTAGCAAATTTAGAAAACTTTATTTAATTTCATTAAATTACAAAATATTAATATTACTTTTTACAAAGTTCAGGCTCACAGTGATAATGAATTTAATAACACAGCAGATTATCTAGCTTCACACTATTCACTTTTAGGATTTCTTGAATTCAATCACATAAACTACTTCAACAATTCCTATATACTCCAATGGAAAAACTTCTCTATTGAACAGCCAACACGCAAGTTTATTAAAAACATCTGCAATGCTTTTACAATAGCCATGTAGTTCTCACAATTTAAGGCACAACTTTGAAAGCAATTCTCAAAACAAGTTAACTAGAATATAACTTAGATAGTAATTAACAACAATCTCTTACACTCATCTAACTACACTAATTACAAACTGAGTAAAACCAAAACCTTTTGAGTCAGAAACCTTCTAAACAACCTTCTTATTATATCTCAATTACATACATACTACTCAAATATTATTAAAACCAAATAATGTATCTCTTGTAACCAAACTGATGACAGTATATACTGGCTATTCTGTCCAAATCTACAACTAATCTTTGACATAATTAAATCAAATATACAATCTAACTTTATACTAAACAATCTTAATATTTCAACATCACAACTCTTATATCTTCAAAATTCTTTTATTAATCATCACTCCCTACAATTACTACAACCTTTCTCTAATAATATCTCACTCTACTAATCGATTACAGGTCTTGTACCGAATGATCTTATACAACTACTATATCCATATACTGACTCCTACAAAACAGTTTAACAACTTATAACTTCACTATTTATAAAAATATCTGAATCAATACATAAGCAATTATGAAAACCCTATTGTTTTTTTTTTTTTTTTATATCTTGAGTAATCTTGCTCATCATTTATTTAAGAGAAAGCTTACAATAAGCAAAAAATAATCTAATATAAAAACTATACTAATTTGTTCTCTCTAGACTAATTCGAACTAACTTAGCTGCCTCAAAGGTGTCTAAGTTCGATCTGCTACAGGAGCTATTTTCTCACGAAAACCTTAGTCTGTATATACAGATACCCAAAAATCGATCAACAAAGGCAACTCCCAGCCATATATCAAGATCCTAGGTCCTTCTCTACCTAGTCAAAACTAAGTAAAGAGAAGTTAGTACTTAGTCTCAAGATATAAAAAGATTAAAAATTGTATAGACCTAAGTGGTCACAGTCTATAACGAAGTCTATACTAGAAAAACCTGCTACAGGTAAAGAAAACTAATATAGGACAAAAAACAGAAAAAGAAAAAAAAATAACCAAGTACCCTATAACCTGAGTCAGGCTTAAAAATTTTAAGTTGTACAACTTATAATCTATCTCGAATAATTCTCTTTCTAACGTAAAGTCTATTTTAGAAAATTAAATCCTATAGCATCAAGGTCATGTTAGTGATACAATAATAAACAAAGTACATGACTTTGTTTATTATATGAGGTTGCACATCTACAGAGTATTTCTGAAAATAGAAAGAGTAAACAATGCTGATTTTTTGTAGGGAGAAACCTAGATTCCCCACTTTTGTCGAAAAAAAGGGAAGACCAGAAGAGAAAAGTTTGTGGTAGAATATTGTTTTCTGAGACTCAAAGGAGTGTGTAGACAAAATAGTTTATTGTTCCCTATTCTTAAGTCTTCTTTTACCAACTTCATTAACAAAGAGCTCTTTTTCATCTCTTTACTAAAATTTTTTATACAAGGGCTTCACCTGCTAGTTATCTTGTATAATATCACTTTTAGCTTGCATGTTAAATATACCGAGGAGTCCCTAGTAGCAAGTCTAGTTGACCTCTATAAAAACTGTTGTATTGTAAAAGAACCTTCTTCATTATTCATAATAAAATTTTTGTTTTTTTGCTTTTCCAAATTTTTGAAAAAAGAATCGTCGGAAAGAGTTGTATTTTTGATTTTTTATAGAAACCCTATTGTGCTAAACTCTTTGAATGAAAACAAACTAATAATATAAAACTTCACAAACAAATTCCTCGAACTATTACCATACAACCAAATTTACCTCAAATATACCACAACTTTAACTCAAATGAAATTAGTTACATATGCAGATATCCTGAAAAACAACACAAAAACTCTTTCTGTCCTCCAGAAGGACTAGCACACCACAAACTATATATTTGGTCTATTGAATAGATTAAATATAGCATTCTTTCTAATAACATAATTAACATTCAAATCTAGATGAGTTATGACTACTCTAGTAGGTTTAGGTCACAGATAAATTAGTCTGAGTTTCAAATCTTGTCATATAGTTTAAAATTATACCTTGTAATAGTATAGTATACAAAAATTTCTGTTGTAAAATTTTTTAATTAAACTATTAATAAAGATAGAAACATGGCTTCACCTTGGCTTTGCTTAAAAAAAAAAAAAAAAAAAAAAAAATTATTTTTAAAGCAAAAACTCACATACCTTGTTAATAAATTAATTTAATATACAGTATTTATATAGATATATCAAATCTGTATTCTTATCTATCTTGTATAGCTTGTGACTACCTAGCAATTTTGCAAATTTTATTGCTTCTGAATATTCTTTTTTTTCTAGTAGAAATATGATTGCTATAAACAGATATAATTTAGTAACTAAAACCGTAAGAGTAGTATAATGTCTTTGATCATAGATACAAAGACTATTGAAAAAAAAAATTTAAAGTTATAATTTCAAATTTTTTTTTTTTTTTTAAAAAAAAAGTATATACTATATTACTTATTTTATCTAATAAAAATTAGTAAAGTTAATTGACTCTTCCTATAGATTATTTTGAGAATTTTTTATGCTAAAGCAAAAATACATATATCTAAAAAACTACAATAAGAAACAACTTAAGAAGTATTAAGAAGAAGAAAAGAGTACATAAAATTACATATAATAGAGTTAAAATCTTTAGAACTTTTAAGTAGATAATAAGATTTTTAAAGAAAACTCAAAGAATTTTTTAGAAAAAGTAGTAATTGCAATTTACCTTGTATTACAGATAATTCTATATTTTACAAAAATACAAAACAAGGTAAATAATTTATATATATATAGACTACTAATTAGACAAATCATATATAAGCTAATAGAATACTTACAAAAGAGAAAAAAATTTGTATTTCTTTAAGTTTTCTTTAATAACTTTTACATTAAAGACTTTGAGACCTTAGCTTCCTAAAAGACTATAAGCTTTTCTTTGTTCTCTTTTCTTTTCTTTAAAGCTATGAGTATTATTTTCTAGATGATTTTTCTAAAACTTAGAGTTTTTTATTTATGTATATTTGTATATAGAGAATCAGCAGAAAGAGTTGTATGTCTCTTTATTCTTTTCAATATTTATTTTTTTGTTTATTTTAAATTATAATATAAAAAAAAATCAATAAAAAAAATATAATTTTTTTTTTAAATAAAATAAAATATTTTAATAACTACTAAAATAAAATTTTTTTATTCTAACAAATTATAAATTTAAAATAAAGTTTTATTAAATTTAATAAAATAATTATTAAAATATTTTAATTTAAAAATAAAAAAATTTTTACTAAAAACTAACTTTTTTTTATAATTATATTTTTATAAATTTTAATAATATTTTAATTTTTTTAAATATAATTTGTATACGTATATACGTATAAACAACTACGTACGTAATTAATTTTTTTTTAATATAAAATTTACAAATATATACAAAAAATTTCAAAAAAAATTAATATAATAAAACTCAAATAATAATAAAATAACATTTATATTATTAATAATAGCTTTATACTGCTTATATTTTAGTGTATATTAAAAAATATATTCAAAAGATATATAGCACTAAAAAAATATTCAAAAAAACAATTTTTTAAAAAAAAATAATTATATAGTAAAAAAAAAAAAAAAAAAAAAAAAAAAAAAAAAAAAAGACAAAAAAAAATAAAAAAAAAATAAAAAAAAAAAAAAATTTAAAAAAAAAAAAAAAAAAAAAAAAAAAAAAAAAAAAAAAAAAAAAAAACAAAAAAAAAAAAAAACAAATAAAAAAAAAACAAAACTTTTGCAAAAAAAAAAAAAAAAAAAAAAAAACAAATATAAAAAAAAGTAGCCTAATTACAATGAATAAAAAAACGCAATAAGAAATAAACTGTAATATTCAATATGAAATTCGATAAAAAATAAACTCAAAAACTCCAAAAAAAAAATATATATATCCCGATTTGAAAAAAAAAAAAAAAAAAAAAAAAAGATTTAAAAAAAAAATCGCTACGAGATCTAAAAAAAAAAAAAAATTGGCTATTCCCAAAATCACTACCACAAATCATTACACAAGAAATAAACAATATGCGGTACACCGCGCCAATACAAATAATTAAATAATAATCCAATCATACCATAGTGTAACCAATAGCAAATAAGACCCAGCTAAACTACAGTAAACCCAATTGGATATATAATGGTGCCAGATCGTAATTATGTTGTAATTGATAGTCATCGTGATTTTACGTTGTTGCGTAACGAACGTTTTCCCATATTATAATAATTATTTTTGCATTTTCGTTATTAATATGTAAGCGATGTAATTTATATATAAACATCATAATTATATTTGCAAGTGACATCAGCTACATTTTTTAAGGGCGATTTTAGGGTTTATATGGGAATCTTTGCTAGGAAATCACCCTTCCCGCCATTGTTACACAAGATTTTAATTAGAAAATCATAATCTATTTAGAAAAAAAAAAAAAAAAAAGTCCTAGCAAAGACCCCAATATATGTAACCCGTTTTCACCCGGATACCCGATTTTCAAAATCATGCAAGTGTCCCAGATGACAATAATGCATCCGGTTCGGAAATCTATTCAGGAATTGTAGGCATTTCCTCATTTTCTTTGTTTTCGTCGTCATCCATTAGAGGAATACCTTCATTTGAGTTAACTTCATAATGTTGATAGCCAGTAGGCTTAGACATTGTTTGTACATTATTAGTATGTTCCAATTCATTTTCACCCTTTTCGTACTAAACAAATAAGTATTGATAATGAGCAAATATAGTGACAATTTGAAATAGAAATAATTTTGATAATGCCTACTTGTTTTGGTAGTAACCAAGATTCCCACCCTTCACGTTTTCTGACTTTATCTTCGTTAATCTCAACAATACGACTATTAAGCAGTGCCTGTGATAAGAAAACAAAATTTACATTAGCCTTGTTCAAATACGTTAAGAAATACTTTTGGTAGAAACTCATACCTCACGGACAAGATCCAAATCCATTGTCAAAGCTTTCACCCGGTTAAACCCTGCTAATAAAGCAATTGGGACATATCCCTCTGGATCCATCTAATAATATTAAAAAAACATTGTTAGATTATAATATAATGAAACATTTAATAGATCATGATATTGGAAATGAACTTGCATTATTTCGTAAAAATATATCTTTGCATAGATTATCAATACTGAAATAATATTCTCTAATATTGGAAAAAGAAAAAAATTAGATCAATATAAAAAAAGAAAAAAAAAAATTCAAGCAGACATTCAAATGGATGTACATTTGTTGTAAAATATAGAATTTCAAAATTTCAAGGTCATAACCAATTTTAGTTCCATAAACATTGACATATTGTTGAACGTATCCTGTTGATGCATAAGGTAAAGTTACCGAACGAGGGGGTCCGCGTGTACCATTGTAAGGTCGACCTTAAAGAAGTAAATGATGAAATGTATTTAGATATATTATATATAATATAAAGTAAAGCGTTCTTAATAAAGATTCATACCTCTTCCTCTACGACCCCCACGAAACGGTGGTCCACTATTAGAATGATGATGATGATTGATACCGTTTTCACCATGTTGTGAATAACGACGACCATATTCTCTAGATGGAGGAGGCACACTTGCACGACGTCTAGTTGTATTGTTGCTTTGCACCGTTGGAGTTTCCACTTCGGGGTTTATAACTTTTTCGCTAGATTTACGTTCACGAAGGCCAACGTGATCTTCACTACGGCGCCGAGGCTTCGACCTCTCATGACTTGGTAATGGTGTGTTATGTGTAATTATAGGAGTATATTTAATCCATTTACCTTTACCTTGAAAGACAATTGAATAAAAAAAAGATAAGTAAAATATATATAATAAATAATAACAAAGATAATAATATTTCACCTCTTTTTTGGTTATCTTTTGTTCCGATATCATTGGATTGCTTCTTTTCGGAAGAATCAGTTTGCTCCTTTTCTTTGTCTTTTATCAAAACTTCAGCAGGAGCAGGCCAAGAGGTTTGATCTTCTAATGGAGGTAATATCGGAGGTTGTTTTTGTTTCTTTGAATCTTTTTTAGCAAATCTTTTGAAATCTTTAAAAATAAAAATAGACAAGAAACCAAAAGTATTGAAGTTAATTCTACGTTCTTTATACGTTAATTGTATATAGTCTAACAAACGCACGGGTGTTGACTTGTAATCGGCTTTCTTAACCAAATATAAAGGGTTAATCCCAGCCAGTAGGTAATTGGTTGAAAAATCTAATATTTTTTGACGACGAATTCTGATAAAATCCATACAGTACGAATTTAGAGGTAATTATTTTTAATATAATTCGGATACATGAGACTTTCAATAACCAATGACTTAAAAGATCCACCTTAAAATGAAAACAACGAGCACGAGTAATTCTAGCAATAAGTCATTTTCCTGCAAAACTTTAAAATTTAATAATAAACCTACCATCCGGAGGTTCTTGTTGATCAATGTTAAGATTTTCAGATTTTTTAATATCGGTAGTGGTAACAGTAATAGTAGCAGCAGCGTCTTTATCGTTAAGGTTAGAGGTTTCAGTAACTTTTTTAGCATTCATAGCCTCTTTCCTTAACTGCCAAATATTTATAGCCGGTATTGGCGCAGGAGAAGGTATTATTTTTTTAGGGGGTTCGTTTTCCTGAGAAATCTTTTCATTCTCCTCGTTAATATTTAGGGGTTCTCTCGGAGAAGCTGGTATAGTAATCAGCCCATTAGTTTCTGATTCTGATGGTTTTAATTTCGTACTGGAAGGTTTGATCAGATTAACATTGCCGACACTGGAACCAGCGAGATTGTTATCCGGCTGCGCAGTTTTTGGACTAACCATGGTTTTTGAAACTTTAGAAAGTATTTCGTTATAAGTAAAAAAAAAAAAAAAAATCCTCTTTTGGATCAGCAAAGTAGAACCTAAAAGAAGGGTTTTTTAACAATAATTTTTTTTTTCTTAAAAGCAGACTACAACAGCAAGACTTGAGACAAGAAGCCAAGAACAACAAAAGATATCCGTTCCGCGTGAATAAAATTAAGATATATTTTTTTTTGGTCGTTTGCGAGGCAGCGAAACCCCTCTCCAGTACAACCTTATGCAAGAAAAAAGTTGTTTGCCTCAGCCAACAACACCCGTTTATACTAACTGCTTACGCAAAAAAATTCGATTTTTTTTTTTTTTTTTTTTTTTGGATGACCCCTTTCGGATATATATATATATATATATATATATATATATAATATATATATATATATTGATATACTTTCAGTGATAGAATACGTGATACGTGGCGAAAGAAAAGTCAGAGATATTTGATTTTTTTTTTTTTTAATAAGAATTATTTGAATTACATGGCCAATCACCTGTTTGTACTCAACGCAGCATCAGTAAAACCAACAGGCCAAACTAACGTTTTTTGATATGATCTGAATCGAATGATCTAATTCGGCAAATATTCATCATATATTGTCATATTAAATTTTGATAATACAATTTTTATTAAAAAAAAAAAAAAAAAAACCTGTCTCGTGCTTTATTGGAACCAGCATCTTGCTTTTTTCATCTTGGTAATTCCCAAAATTCTAGTACTCCGATAGAACCCGGTTTAATGCCATTTTATGTACGTACTTACTAGTACCCCCCTTGAGTTACAAAAACAAATAACAATTAAAATATCTTTTTGTAACAATCATAAATAATTCGCGTCGGTTGACGTCTCTCGTTAAATTGTAACACCAAGAAAAAAAAAATATATATATATATGGATTTTTTTTTTTAAAAAAAAAGACTGTTAATACGTAAATTATTAATTAATACAAGATTACCGAATTTCATTAAGCCTCTAGTGGCTTCTTCTTCCAGCCGCTTTCCAGGATTATTCTTCACTGCCCCAAATATAATCGACATAAGAGCTTGAATCTGGATCATTGTGACATAATATATAACGATAAATCTACAGCGGATCTACCTGGTAGAAAATCCCTATACTGTGGTACCAAAATCACATTCTTATTGTTCACCTCCCAAGGAATTTTATTGGTTTTATAAATAGATAGGTAAGATAATTACATATCATTGGCGCCTTGATACCTTTGAAAGAAAGAATCTCATGCATTGTATGCACTGGGACCATTGAATACTTGGATACTTATAATTTAGTGGCGCGGGAAAATCAAATATCTTGTAAATCGAATGAGTTAAAAATGCACAAACATGCGACATTAAAAACACGTAAGCCTGAAATTTGTATGGTTAGATTGCCGCACCACAAATGGTTACACTTACTGCGCATAGATGCTTTCAAAAAAAAATGATCCGTAATACCCCTCTTAGATTAACTGATGGTGACTCTATGTCAGTTATGATTAGCAGGACTAATCATTAACTTTGACACAATCAAGTTTCACACAATTTCTATAAAAAAAATTAATAGCGATAGCGATAGGTAAATATTACGACTCTCTGTGTGGTCTTACAAATGTAACATTTTGTTTTTTAATAGTTACATTTTCAAAAAAGTCACATTTATATGAGGATCTCACGTGCAAAACATAAGTTATTTGAACGCTATCACTTATTTAGTCTAACGGCTTCGAGTTTAATATTTTATACGTATCGAGCTAAATTTTTTAATCAATAAAAATTAGCTATATTTTTTCTAGTATGCAATATATTTTAATCTTTAATATAATTAAAATTTTATTACTAATAAATTGTATATGATAATTAAATTTTGAAATTTTTAATTAAAATATTCGGTTGCTTTTTGTCTTGATTGATGTTATTATAAATAAAATTTAAACTGCTATATAACTACTAATTAAATTATTAAATTTAAAATTGCTTAGGTTTATAAAGTTATTTAACAAATTTTCTCTTTTTTATATAATTATTATTATAAATATTTACAAAACAAATTTTGTTATAAAATTGTTTTAAAATATTAGAAAAATAAATAATTATATTTACAAACTTCTTTTACTGTATATGTTTCAGTATTTTCAAACTATATATTTAAAAATGCTTACAAGTAATCATAAGCGTAAACGTTTTAATAATAAAATGCATTAGCCAAGTTTTGAGACAATGCTGTAATGCTAGCTAAAATATTATCCATGGATAACCCGATTTTGAATCGGGCCAATTCCAATTGGAGGCATGATATATACGTTGTAAAAAAAGAGTTAAAAAAAGCATTCTATCAGATTGAACCGAGCCGTACAATTATTTTTTTTAAATTATCTAAACTAATCTTTTCCATCCATATTACCTTAATGAGCTTCTTTTAGATACATTTCCACTGATATAGTTTAACCTCAATATAGTCACTAATTATTTATTTTGTCAAATATTATATAACTAATAATAGATATTTGTCACCTCAGTCACGTTAATTTTCGATTACCAACCTATGATTACAGTATAGAAATTGTTTCAACAGATATTATGATAAGTTATTATACTATTACGTAAAAGTTTCGTATTTAATTATTATGTATAGCAAATAAGTTACACGAACTCTTAATAACTGCAGACTGATATTTTCAATTACCCCCAAGGTCAGGAATGCCATTATAGCAGCACTTAGTTTTAATTGTATTCGACACATTGTCCAACTTCTCCTAAAATTTAGAAATGATGGTTCGGGTTACTTATCTAGTGTAGGAGTTAAATTAATAATTAATTGTTAATAAAATTAGTAATGTTTACTAATTTAACTGAATTAGCAATGCATGCCAAAATTATTGTTTATATGATATTGATTTTATCAATGATAAATCCGTTAAAACAATATACGTATCGTAAAAAAAATTGCATGCATGAAATAATTGTTAATACGTATGGTAATTGTTTTGAATTAAATACCTATCGCTATAAATTAGATTAAAACTAATAATTTATGTGACTAAGTGCTGCGTCAAGAGTTTGGAACTTGATTAGTAATTACAATCAGATTTATCATGACTAATCAATTCACCTTATATCCGAGGGGTATGTACGCATACTTGATACCTAAGTATTGGTATAAAATCGAACGTTATTATGATTATGCAAGTTCATTAATGTAAATAATTCTTTTATGCCAAATCTCATCACCCCCAAGATATAAAAATAATCCTCTATTGAAATTATACTGTTTATTTGATCCAGGTAAAATAATTAAATTTTAAACTTTTATGTCTGTCCGAAACCAATTAAACTTTAGAATAAATAATAACCCAACTTTTTTCAAAAATTTAAAATGCAAAGATGTCTTCTGCGCCCAATTTAAATGACCATATTGTATATAAGCGCAAAGTGCCCGATTCTATTTAAGACTCTTACAAAATTCATTAGAAGAATTCTATCTTTAAAAATTCTTTAAAAGCTTTATTATCGTCATCTTATTAAGCAAAATTGCTAACGCCGCTAACCTTTATTGGCATTTGTATGCGTAAAACACTATGTAAATGTCATAATTAATTTGGCTCCATATTCGTCCTGTTATTTTTTTTTTTTTTTTTTGAAAGAATTCGGATTACTAATACACAACATATTATCGTTTGATAACGTCTATTGTGAAAAAATGATTTTTAAAGCTAGTTTTTCTAATTTTGAATTTTTTTCTATAGACCCATATCTTTTATAATTATGTAGTAAGGGACTATACCAAAATTAAAAGAATCGATTTCTAGAATTACTTACGTATTAATTTTGTATTTATTATAATTGCTTTCATATGTATTTATTTTTTTTTAATCTTATTAGCGTTAGTTGTTAAAAAGATTTTAAATATGAAGTGTATACGTAGAGTATTTATTTGGTTAAGTGCTATTGTGCTGTATAAAAATTTGATATGCTTATACTGTATGCATAACGCACTGGGGTATTCCATCAGGCTGCTTGCATTCCAGGCAGCCAATACTCGCCCAATCTTGATGGTTTTATCGGAATAAACGAGATGCAGAGTACTAATTATTGATGTTTATTTATGCATCCATGTAGATTCTGAGTAGACCCTAGCCATATTATTTGACCAATAGAATTCAAGATCTGTATATAACAAAAAAAAAAAATTCCAATCATATAACGATATATAGTAATAACGATTAAGTAATTTTTATGTTCGTGAAATTTGGATCTAATTTAATATGAAATTTTAAAATTTTTTTGGGGGTGTATTTACTTAGCTTTTTTTTTAAAGTTAGATTAGAAGTTAGAGTTGTTTAGAAAAGAGTATAAGTAGATTTTAGTAGAGTTTATATTTTCAAAAAGAGATCTCAAATTTTATTATTATATGAAGGTAAGTTAGTAAAAACGTATTAAATTTTTTTTAAGTAAATTTTTTTGAAATTTTAAACAAAAATAATTAAAAAACTTAAATTTAATAAAAAATTTTTAAAAAAAATTTTTATTAATTTTATTAAGTTTTTGTTAAGTTATTTTTTGTTCAAAAACTTAAAAATATTTTACTAAAAAAAATTTGGTATATTTATTTGATATTTATATTTTTTTTAAGTATATAAAAAAATTTTTAATAATATTAAAATTAGAGAATTACTATTTGTATACTAGATAATACAAAAGTATCAAAAAGTTAATTAAAATTTAAAATCAGATATAATATATAAATCTTTTTTTTTTTTACTTTTCTGATGATCATTTAAACTATATACAAGTAAACTTTTTATTTTAAAAATAGTAATAAAATTAATATTTTAATGAATATATAGCAATATTAATAAAAAAACAATACAAGATAAGTTTTAAAAACTTAGTAGCACTTGTTCACTAGAAATTATAAACAATATGATATAGTTTTGATAAGAAGTAACTAGAAGATGTTTTCAAAGAAATAT